GGATAATGTTGAAAAAGCTTAATGTGCTCTTCTGCAAAACCTGTTAATCCTGTGCCTCCGACAGCTCCACGTCAGCCTTGGGTAGCCCTGGCTCCTCCCTGGAGGAGGCCATTTCAGGGAAAGTGTTACTCAGCATCCGTGAGGGTGTCAAAAACCTGGCCAGGAATAAAGATTTGCTTCTCCAGCCCGTAGCAGTCTGAAGGCTCCTTTAAACTTACAAACCTGGTGAATAGGGCAGCCCGAGAAACATCGAACGGTCTAGCATCTCTCTGGATCTGATTCTCACATTGCTTTCAGACCACAGATAAGAAAAACGAACTGATTCAAAACCCACAGCAGCTTTTGAGCCAACCTATTGCCTGCTGCTCAAGCTCTGAAGTGCTGGTGAAGAGCTCCCTAGAGCCTCCCTCGACAGCTTTTATCACTGTAGGAAATGCTTATGATTTGCAACTGCTGCCCCTGCCTTTCCGCACTGCTCCCTAATCTCTGCCGCACTGTACCTGCATAATCCTTGGTGTAATAAAAATCTTCAAGAGACCAACAGACTTAGCTTCAAATGTTTAGTTGGGGAAATCTGGAAAGTAAACACCACCTAGTCAACATTTTAAGGGTGAACTGAACTAAAGAGTATGGGAAAAAAAAATCCGTTCAGAATCTGAGGCTTTGGCTGAGGAGGAGACATGATTTTGTGGAATAAGACACAAGCCTAGAAAATGCAATCAAGATGACTTATTTTTCCCCAAGGTGACACCGAGCATATCTCGACTTATTGTCTCTATACTAGAAAAATGCATTGCTCCATCCCCCGACTGTAACTGAAGGCTCTTCCCGCAGTGGGCTTCACTGCCTCCTAACAATATTCCCTGTTATTTTACACCGGAGCCATGTGTGACTGCACGCCCAAGAGAGATTTGAAGGTATTCTTACTGTCTGAACAGTAAAAGGCCCATAATGGATTTTTTAATGAAAAATGTGGCATGCTTGGAAATCTTTCACTTATGAAAATGAAACAACCATTTCACTGTTACTGACAAAAGACTTTAAAGGAACTATCCAAAATGGGCCTGTCTTTGTAATTTTACTCTGTACCTCTCATTCTAGTTACATTATTTAGTCATTTTTTAATGTATTCACTTTGAGGTCCTCCATTCCCATGAGGTGAGCTGGTTCTGGTGTGTCAACTATTTTGTCCTAGGACCCAAGGTTTAAGGAATTTTTGGTGCCAGCTGGCTCTTCCTAAGCTTATTCTTGATAGATGCTCATTTCATTTCCTTCAAGTGTTATTAGGGAAACCACATGATATCCGATTCTGAATTGTGCATGCCTCTACATTAGCGGTACGCTACTGCAATTAGTTTTAAAGCAAGGCTGCAGGTTACACCAGAATTTGAGGATAGCACAGCTGTTTTATATGGGCAGCTGTGACATCCATGTCTGCGGGCCTCACGGTAAGCTAAGCTTTACTGGAGGGAGAAGGAAAAGTTACTCCAGGAGATGAAATCACAAAAAGTGGCATATGGTAAAAGAGTCACATCTCTACCTACAATTCCTGAAATCAGTCCAACCCAAAACATCTTGGGTAAAACTTACACCCTGCCTTTGGAAAAGTGACCCTACGGATCAAATTGTCTCCTGAAAACAAAATTGCTTCATCTACTGCAGGAAAAAAATCACATATTGATTCTCACACACACAGGATGTAGCCAGGCGCTAAGCCGCTATTACACTCAATGCAACAAAAATTTGAGTATTAGAGTTGCCACTCGCCTATTTATTAAGCTGAAAGCACCGTCGCACACATTTGGCACCGTGCTGCTCCCGGGCTGTAACTTTTCACGTGCAAAGTTCACCCGTAGAACAATGCGAATCAAACGATCCCAGATGTGCTTTAAGCACAGTATTGGGTTGCACACCTTCGCTGGTGCGAGGCAGGGCAGACCTGCTTGTGTCTGCGCTTTCAGAGCACAACTGATATCAACCCGTCATCCCCGGTGTGCAGGACAATGGAAAAATGTCAAGTTAAAAAAGCCCTGCAGATACTTGGCCCATTCAGGTGCGGTGTTAAAACCCTGCCAAAAGGACTTGCGTATGATTTATCAGCATAACACTCTGGCCAAAGCTAAAAAACAGACTTTACTGCCCTGTTAATTTTGATACAGAAAACAGAGAAAGTTGAAAACATCGCTGTCCAGCTTAGAAGAAAACAAAAATTGAAACCGTGGTAATAGCTATGAGTGGATAGTGCTGTTTAAAGGGGGAACTGAAATCTTCTGCTACATAGTTAAAAAAATCAAAGATGCAGGTTTTAGTTAAATGCATCTAAAGCAAATCATGCTGTATTTTCCACTGGCTTGTCTGGAGTAAGGATTAGTGTTGCAGCCATAGCTGCTTGGTTTTCCAGGGTAGTGTATTTTCACCAGTTCAAAGCCCTTTTCTCCTCACGAAGTAGTAACTCCCCCAAACCTCCTTTATGGAAGAATTTTGGACATTTTAAGTGGCACCTCTCTTACTGGAACCATCAGGGAACATTTCTCTCTGAGGTTTGATGTTGGCTGACAGACTAACACTCAGTAGGAAGAAATCTCAACATGCTGTATTTTGTGTGTGTGTGTGTTATCAAACATTTATTCCGTGGCAGACAAAGCAAAATGTGTCCAAGCCTGGCGTAACTTCTTCAGCAGCCTCTGCTGGCAGTCAGTGCTTAGTGTGCAGTTTTGCAGAAAGCCACTTGCCAGCATTCAGACTTGCTGCTGTTACAGAGAGACCTTATAGCACTGACAACCCTGCTATAAGGAGGAGACACTTTGGCAGGGCTAGCTTTGCTGGTGACAAGTTTTTTCTCCAGGGTTAAATATATGAGAGAGATATATAAATAGAAAAGTGTATTATATAAAATATATATCTATACATGCATTTATACATATATAATATCTATAAAATAGACTGTGTAAATATTTAATACAAATATATATTAAGATCATCTCAGCTTTCCTTTTCACAGGTGCCTTATATCCTTGGGATGCAACTGGACCACAGAAGCGACAGCTTGCAGATGCATACGTACACACTCTGATAGGTCTTCCACCTCCATCAAGCTGTGGCAGTTTGGCCAGCAGGACCACAGAAAAAAAACTGTTAAACATAGCAAGATCCAAGACTCAGGAATTCATATTTATCTTAGAATTGTCAAATTTCTGTCTGACAGTTATTCCCTCACCGAATCACAGCGAGAGGATGGGACTTACGCAGAATCACCCGCAGCAACTGTCCTCTACTGCGACTACGGCACTGTGGACTGGCAGTGTTATTTTGGCTGCTTTCCTTCAAAATTCAGGTTTTTTAAAAAAATTATGTTTATACATAAGTGTGACAAATGTAAAAGCTGCAGGCAGGTAAAATCTGTTTTCTTCAGAAACAAAGCAATGGCTCTAACAACTGTAAGTTTGAACAAAACATACTAGCTGTTCGGGATAAATAATAACTAATGCAAGTCTTGGTTTAAAAAAAAAATAGTAATTTTAGACTGTAAGGTTAAAACCATCTCCTCTAATTGCATAGCAACACCTGCATCACACCGCCTCAGGCAGCTGCAGCAAGTGAATAGACTCAGACCCATAAAACACTAGGCAATCTTTCCACGGGCAGCAAAGGGTGGTCAATTCTGATCACCAAGCAAAGCATTCAAACAAGGAACCAGCAGCCTGTCACATTTAATTTAAGGAAGATGTTTCAAGATTTATCTCGAGAAGCAAAGTTGCCTCAACCTCCCAGCTAGAGCAATGTGTTTCCATTTACGTATTATTAAACCACAAACACATTGAAATGCTAGGTCTACCTAAACTCCTGCAAAAAAGGTAATTAATTAGGTGGCTGCTGCAGTCTAGGGGGAGCAATTTTTACTCACCGAGGTCCCACGCATTCCACAGCAGCCAGTTTCTAGGGGCTTGCACTGATTTTCTCCTGAGTTGAGCCTCCAAAACTAAAATATGAGGTTTGGCACAGTTGTTTGCAAGGGAGCTGTTTACATGCACTCTCTGAAGTTGTGACTTCTGTATCCATCAAAATAGTGTCAATTCTTTTGCTGCCCATGCTTTTGTTAATTGGTATGAATTTCAGAAATATTTTAACTACATTTTTTTTCCGCTTCTGCCTGCTGCACGTAAGATGCAACTGAGGGGAAACAGCCAGTTTTGTGTGCTTAAAAGCTGCCGATGGTATGAAACAGGCATCTTGCTTTGTTCTTTTGACAGTAATCTCTTCTGTGCTAGTTGTTACCATGCTAGTGTAACCTGGGATTTTGAAACCGGGTCTCTCTGCTCCCAGGACACCTTTTTCCCTACAACTTGCCCCCTCCAACAGAAGAAAGGTGAGAAAAACAGCTCCCTGGCTGCTGGTGAAGCACTTCTCTGCCTGAAAACATTACTCATACAACTGAGCAAGCAGAGTATTCTACATTCAACTCCTTGATTAAAAAATAGAAAAATAATTATTGTCCACCTCTCTTGCTGCAGAACTGAAAATTTTCTAGAGGATGCCTACTGCGAGCAAATTTTCCCAACAGGGACAGATCCAAAGCAGTTGAATAGATCAATTGGTATCAAATGCAATTAGGAAGCACTGTGAGTGGACTATTGAACACCAGAGGGCAAGCCTGGTTATAGAAATAGGGCTGGCAGCTCTAGCACAGGTAGATTATGCAGCTGCAGTGCATATCGCAGACGGGAAAGTGGTTTCCCCCTTCCCCTCAATTTAAGGTCATTCCCTTCCTGGCAAGCCAGCTACAGTAAAGCTAATACAAACAGCAAAGCCTTTAGAAAAATTGCAGTTTAATGTGTAGTGGTAAGGTGACAAAAGAAACAAACCATTAACACTGAGTGTTACAGAAAGAAATGTTTAAAAAAAAAAGTACATCTGAATGGAAAATGCAAGCAAATTCCTAAGGAAGGTATTATCTTATTAAAAGACTCATACTGATATTATTCTTTATGCCTAGAAAAATCTGATTAACACAAGTGATTAGGCAACTCCAATTTTAAAGCTGCAAAAAACAGGTTAGAAGAGCAATAAAACTATGCTATGATCTCTAAACCCAATATAATTGGGCAAAGTCAGATCTTCAGGTCGTTTTACTACAGCTTCAAATCCAACTGAAGATCTTTTCCTGACCCACAGTCAGGTAAACAATTCACAGAATTAGCAGATAACTTCCAACACTTTAAGAAAAAAGTTGGTTTCTTCCAAAACTGACTCACCAGTACTTACGCCATCTAGTGGCCTGTTCCTTCAGGCAAGAACAACGATTAGTTACTAAAAGCCTTTGGTTAAGGCTGCTTCTTTAACATACGGTGGTCAGTATTATGCTATTATTTTAAATGGAAGGTTAGAATATGCAATGCAGAATGCTACTGCTGACTGGGAGTATCACAGAAGAGAAATTCATCCTTTTCTCCAGATACTAACCACCAACATGAAGCACTCCTACTAAAAAGGGACATGACAAAAAATACATTTTCTCTTTCCTCAAAAAGGCCTGGTATCAGCTTCAATTAAACCTGTAACTAGTGTGTAGAGCAAAGTAACTCTTTACATCAAAAAATGGATCCTTTAGAGTAACATGGCTCTCCTTGTTCTCAATTATTTGGGTCTGAAAGACTAAAAAAGCTTTGCATCTTCACACAGACTGTTTTTCTATATGTTTTATTAGAAAAACAGAACTATAGCTTCAATTTGGATTCTTTTGCTTGCAAAGCCTTGGTTGCTAGTTCAACTCTTTCTTTTAATAAGCTAGCTTCTTCAGCATTTTTTTGGGCTTGTGCATTTTTCAGTAAGAAGTGGGTAAGGAAGAGTTTCAAGCCTTCCCGTAGCATTCCCAGTTTGGGGTTGTCAGACAGCCTGTAAAGATACAGATCAAAACCAGTATTTAGTTTTCCACTGTTTCAGAAATGTCTTAATTTTTTTTTCTTTAGCTTCTTCAAATAGAGGAGTAGAAAAAAATCCAACCTATAAAAGGAGCTTTTCTGAAAAGGCTTTCAAGTTACCAGCAAGTCTACATTGGTTTGGCAAACAGCCCAAACACACTCAACATACAATGGAGTACTGGAACCTTAGACTTGCTTTATGTAAACAATTACATTACAGCAAAAAACAAGGCAAACAGAATGTTTGAGCTTCCTTGTGTTGCAGTGTAACATCATCACAGTAACGGTTGAAACATCATCACCCAATTTTTTCTAACTTCATGTGACATTGCAAGTTTAACACAACAAAATCATGGAATCACAGAAAAATTTAAGTCAGAAAGGATGCTGGCAGGTCATCTTGTCCGACCTCCTGTTTAAAGCTGGACTAACACCCAGATGTAGTCAGGTTGCTCAGAGTCTTATCTACTCACATCCTAAGCATCTCCAAGGATGGAGATTTCCCAGCCTTTCCAGGCAACCCTGTCCCACATACAAAAATAAGATTTTCCAGACAATGTTGATTTGAAAAAACAAAAAAACCACCCCTCCCCCTCCAAACCTTTCCCTCATTAGTATTTCTTTCTTTTTCCTTCTTACACTAAAGATACCTTCTTGCAAAGACTGCTGGTAGAGTGAATCCCACTGCACACAGATGGTAAAGCAGTAAGGAAAGCAGGTAATTACAGAGCTCTGCTCATGAAAATCCTATGACCAAAATGATACATTGATTATCTGAAAGTCTTATTTTGTATAACACTTCTCACAGTTGTATCTATATAAGAGCCTGTACTAACATACAACTGATATGCTTCCCCCCACTCAGCCAGGAGAGTTTACTTTTTAAGGGATGGATGGCTGATCTTTGGAAAAGGCACTGTATAATTCCAAACAAAATAAGCAAACTTATCTTCTTAATTACTACTCACCAAGGGTTCCCTGGATATCTCTTTGATCACTTACCTCACAAAAATGTCACTAAGTTCTTCAGCATCTGTTTTGATTAACAGCATGCTTAACACTTGTCGCAAGAAACGGACCTTGGTTTTATCTAGTTCGCTGAATTCAATCACCTAGTAGAGAGAGAGGGAGAATTAGATTAATTCAAGTATTTTAGACAGCTGAATTCTCTTCTAAACAAACAGCTTTTAGCACACCAACTGGCCTCTTATATATACCAAGTCTTAAGTTTGGCACAGAAGAATTAGCTGAGAACACTGCCTCCAAAAGTCAATCAATAAGGAATGCAGAGAACTTTCTAAGGAATAACCTCTTTAGTTGTACCAGAAATCTGGATATAATTTCTCAATTGGATAAATACTTCAGAATTACCTAGGACAATCCATATAATTGCCTGTTTAACACATTTCGATTATTCTTCTAATAAAATTCTATGGACTCCCCACTCTGAAATGCAAGTGATCAGTAGATTTCTTTCTGGTCTAATAAAAATCAACATCAGCTAAAAAGCATAGCACAAAATCCATTGACAAAGCCTATTAATGAGAGGGCCTCAGTTCCAACTCTGGACACTCTAGAGAAAATAATTTTACAGCTGCTCTAGATATAGAACTATAGACTTTCTGTACACCTGGGTCACCACAGGTTCCCTTTTCCCCAAATGATAGCATCACCATAATCGATTAGATTAATTTGGTAATTTTAGAACAAGTTTTGTCTTAGCTTACGACCATGAATAGCTAAAGTACCAGCTAGGTAACAGAGAAAATACATTTTCCATAGAACTAGCAAATGCAAGGAAAACACAGAAGTATTTTGAAAAGAAAGCACACCAACCTTGAGAACTGAAAGTGGCAATGATTTTGTCCTTAACAAGTGAGCCAACAGTGAAACCAAGTTGGAGATGGCAGTGGCTGACAGGTTTTCTAAGTCTCTGATTTTGTCCCAAATACTAAATTGAAATGTCACCTAGGTGTCAAAGGAAAAAAAAAACACCTACAAATCAAGGACTGTTTAAATGCGTAACAATGTAACAAAACCTTTTGACCTTCTATTCTCTATGAGCCCTCTGTTAATTAACAGAGATGCTTGATCAGACCGTTCAATTCCTTTAAAATGCGTAAAACGGATGAAAGCAAACCTTTTGCAGTAGTTATTTTATTTCCTATTCAGATCTGACCATGAGTATGCCTTACTGAATGCACAGGTATACCAGCAGAATTTTTCCTCAGGATCAAGATCTTAACAGGCATACCTCCATTCTCAGGTATTTAATAACTGTTTTCCTAACCACAATAATGGTTAAAAGAAAGCAGAAACAGATTTTTCTTCACCTGAAATCGTCTTTCACATTTGCAAAACTTGTTAGCCAAAAATGCATAGAAGGGGTTATACGTCTTCTCCTGTAAACAGCAGTAAAGGATAACATGAACAATTTCTCTCTCCTGCTGATCTTTCAGTCCGAGCCTAAAATTTAGCAAAAGAATGAGAATCATTTAGTAAGGAAAAAAAATACTGCCATAAACCAAGAGCTACAGCCAACATCTGAGAGTAATGCTTAAACCCCCCCCCAAACACCACATTAAATTTTACTTGTTAGAAAGTTCTTACAAAGTCTTTAAAACACTGAATGGACTCAAACCCTTATGACTGTGGGCTAAATCAGTATCCTGGTATTGCAACATGGAAATGCTACAGTATTATCAGTGTTAAAGGAGTGGCTGCAAAAGCAGGACCTCAACAGACACAATTGGAATGATGCAAGTATAATTACACCCTGGGGAAGAAAAGGTAGCCCACTCCATGTTTGTAGCTCTCCGTGAAGAAAAATGGAGGAGACAGCACTGTCACCATGGAATCTTGTGCCTTTGAACGCATCAGTTGCACTGCAGCAAGTGCTGCTGCACGGTGTAGCAATACAAAGGTTCAATAGTGAAACGAGAACTGTAGGACCCTGTTGTGCTTATCTCACACTTGTACCTATGGTCATGGGAAGAAAACCAGCCTTTGTATTATTATTAGCCTATTTAGAGAAACACGTCCAGGGCCCTTCACTTCTGTGGTACTTACTACGGATAAAAAAATATATTTTAAGATGTTTTCCCTATTTAGCTGGTGATATGAATCTTTTCATCTCTAGGTCAAGACCACGCTACATAATACTTGAAATTCATTATTGTTTGATAGTAGCCTAAGAGGTTGCAGTCAGTGACTTCAAAGCACCTTAGGAAAAAAAAAGAAAAAAAGCCTGAAGAAAACAGTCAGTGTCAATGAGTACTTATGTTGGCTGTCTCAGCATAAAGGCCAAGGACTGAACAGCCTTCCCACTTGAACAGCTGACCAGTCTAAAAGAGGGCTGAGACACTTTGGCAGGGAATGGTAACTAACTCGCAATGCACCTGTTCTGTGAATAATATGATTTAGGTTCCAGGGCTGCCAAATGCTTGGCAGCGTTAAAACCAATTAAAATGAAAAATGCTTCGTATTATAAACTGAAAAATGTTAAACAAAATTCTTTTCATTGCTTCAAGCTCAAGTTTCATATGGCATTAGTGTAACTCAAGTGTATTTTCTAACTAAGTTTGACTCCACTGGAACTTGCTCTACCATCTGTAGTTTGTCATTGCTTGATTCTAATATCCCTCATTTGTATACACCTCCAGACATCTGCCATTGCATTTGATCACAGATGCACACCAGATTAACAGAGAAAATATTGCCTTTCAGCCAACCCCCTCCCGAATTTATGGTTTTATGATAGGAAAATCTGGGATGATTTCTAGGCTGATTGCTAATGAGTGGTGAAAACTTAGAAGTCTGCTTCTCCAAGAGACCAGCCCTGTAAGCGCTGCATCTGTGATATAATTTGCTTGCTCTCCCATCAGCCAAGTTCCATCTGATTTTATTAAGAGAGCAAGAGAAGTTTTTTTTAAAAATACACAGGTTTTCAGCCACTGGACATGCACTTAATAAATGATGTGTGAAGTTACACTGCAATCACTGATCTGGCACTCTCCTTTTCCTTGTTCATCATCACTTCTATCATGACTTGCTTATTTAGGAAATACTCATGTTGCCAGACATTTGTAACCAAGTAAATCAGCACTTTGATGCTCAATTTTGTTCTCTCCTTCACTTCTTCACAGATCTAGCAGTATTTTATCTTTTCAGACCTAGTATTCCTAAACATCTAAAATTTAGGAGTCAGGATTGTCTTTCACTGCTGAGCTTCACCATAAACTTCTACAGATTTCATAAGCCTGATAATCTTTGATAAAGAATATGCAACAACCTCACCTACTAAATCATGAGTTACAGTATCCCCATGGACTTGTATGTCCTGATCACTTTAAGAACTTCCCGCTGTATAGGGGATAAATAACCTACTTCAGAGGCAGTTATCACCAGCAGAAGCCTGCCTCTAGGTAGGTTAGTTATCGTCAGCTGGAAGCCCAAGACTATCACTGCCTTTAGATCAAAAATAGCAACACTCAACCCCACCTTTTAAAAGTCAGATCAAATTATTTCAGTAGATACAATCACATACTTGCTATCCTGAATTACACATCACAATACAACAGGACATCTGAGACTTTTTAGAAGTTTCAGTTTTTTGTGAGATGTAAAGTTTCTCAAATTCTTCATCTCTATGAAATAGCTTTAAAAATTGCCTCTCCATCAAACTTAAAAAGCCTTCATTCCCCCTCCTGTGTGAATCTGTGGTTTGTGAAGGACGTGTGGCCTTTCAGCTGAAATGGAGCCACTCTCTTCTCTTGTCTCCAGTGACGTTCATAACCCTCCCTTTACACTGACACTTCTGCAATCACAAGCTGAGCCACTTCAGAGAGCTGTTCTGCCTTCAAACCAATTACTTTCTTTTGCTGTAAGGAGGAGAAAGAGAAGCAAAACTACAGCAGCCTAGATTAAAAATGGTTTAAATTACCATTTAACCACACCTCAACTCTGCCAGACACCTAGCAGCAGATGAATCAACAAGTGCAGTTAAAATATTTCTTTATATATTTCTCATGTTCTTCTTCATGAGACTGATGTCAAACATATGAATGTAAATTCCCATACACTCTGGAACACGTGCACATTGAAGTTAATTCCTTCACTGACAATTCTGTGTACTTTCCACTATACTCTGCCAGGTGTGGGCAGATTTGAGAACTCCTCTCCAATTTTGCTGTATAAAAATCAGTATCAACACACACCAGGCAATCTGCAGACAGTTCTTCTGCCAAGCCTGTATGTATATAGATTTGTATACTAGTTTAAATAGCACAGATGAGAGTCAAGGATCAATCTGCAAATTGAGCTACCAGGTCTTGGCAAGAACTGCAGCAGCAGCAGCTAATTTCTTTTAATTGAAGAGGCCATATTAAGATATTGGAATGACTCCATCACAGTCTTAAATCCAAGCTGTGTTTTGCAGAAGTGGCATTTAATCAAATATTAGTTGACTTTATTACAAAGTCTGTTTTGGTTTGGTTAGCAAATTAAATAATTGCATGCCATCCGGGTAAGACAATTCCCTTGAATTACAAGGCTGCAATAGAAAAGTTCAGACCTGATCTCTCTCCTCCCAGTTACTACGGACTTAGAATTAATATCCTGACAAACACAAAGAATAGCTTAGTTTGAGCTTTTCCCTGATCACATCTTCTTCTAAAGAGCTGTTTGCCAAGTGGTAAGGAAACTGGTCTTAACATGAAATGTGACTGTGGAACAAATCCAAAGCTAATAAATTCTGCAAGAGGGAAGCGGAGGTGCTAGAACACTACCAGGTCATGCAAGTATGGACAGAGACTTACAAGATGGCTTAACAAAGTAGCAAGAAGTAAAGGAAGTGGCAGTAGTATGGAAATCCAGCAACAAAACCAAGAGATGTTCTGAAGGGGTTTCTGGTCTGCCTCTGTAAGGAAGCAAGCCTGCAACAGACTTCCATCCGCTAGACCAGGATACACATCTTCAATGCAAAAAGATACAGGCTCCTTAAGTCAAAAGATACTGTAAATCAGTTATAGACATGAGTGACAATAACAGGGGCTACTCCTTTCTTCTGATTGCCAGTGAGTTCTGCCTGCCCCCACTAGTCCTTACACCAGGGTTTTGGTCCCTCTCCTACCCTTTTACCTCATGGGGATCCCTAGCTATGCACTTCTTTAATTTATTATCAACTAAATGCTCTTAAGCCCAGCCCAGCAATGTTATTTTTTCCAACCCAGCTAATGATATTTTTAGTTCTGGGCTGTCTTCTGTGCTAGTCTGTACTTACTTGAGAAGCTTTTCAAAGGCATCCAGGAAGTCTTCACTTGTCATCAAGACACAAAAAATACTTCTCCTGATATCAGTGTTCATTCTCTGCTTACGAGCAAGCTCCATTATCTTTGAACTCACCTAAAAAAAAAAAAGCTATTTTATTTATGCTTGCTTTAAGAAAGCTATTTCTGTGCAGCCTCGAATAAGAACATTAATGAAGATCTCCAGTAAACTATGAAGTAGCAATCCAAAGGTCCTGAGCTTTTGATCAGAGGCAAAGGCATCATCAGGAACTTTTTCAACTAGGGAAAGATATTTTAATGTATTTTAATTGTGCCAATTATTTTTAAGGCACGCGTCTCTAATGTAAGTCACTATGATCACCTCACCACACTACTTTTAGAATCAGCTTAGATATATGCCACCCACGGACAGACAACACTACCTGTCAGAATTCATGCTAGCAAATCCACTTTTAAATCAAGTTTCTACTTCAACTTACATGAGTTACTTTTGCAATTCCACAAGATAAGAAAAAAACAAGTTATACCATAATATTTGTAGTAACAGCTCTTATGGACTGCACGAGTACAACATTTTGAAAAACATTAAGAGCAGAATTTACAGCTCAAAAGCTTAGCCTTACAAGAGTCCACGAAGGTTTTTTTTTGTTGGGCTCTGAAATAAACTTACTCACCTATATGAAGAATATTCAAAAGATCACAAACATTTAGCCTTATAACTAGCACTGCTTGGATTTACCTTTCCTATATGCAGTTTTTGCTGAGTCTTGCTGTTTGTATCATTGATCATTGGTGCTCCACTCCAGGATGACCCTACGATCCACCAGCGACCAACCTGATCAGCACTGAGGAGAGATTCCAGGGAGACACGGAGCTGAGTGTCTTTTCCAGAACCGCTGCTGCGAACCTTGAATAACAAAATACAAAAAATCCAAAAGCTTTTCTTTGAAGCTTTCTTTAAAAAAAACAAACAAAACAACAAATATTTTAATTACTTAAAATTACTTTAAAACAAATACTTTAAACAAGTAACTTAATCTCCCTCCATACAGATCTTCACATGTTCCCCCTGCAACCTTTAGTTTCAGTCAGCAACCTGAAAAGAATTTACAAATTTCCCATATGCTCTAATTTCTCAAATACAAGAAGTTGCTTAAAACTACATTTAGAAGCTCTTTTTTTATTAAAAAAAAAAAAAAAAAGAGAGATAATCAATTAAAAAATAGCCATCTTCCAATCATAAAACTCGATTAGAATTCAGACTTAATGCTGACATTGAAAAATCAGTTGCCACATCTTACAATCTGGTCATGATTTTCCTTTTGAACACTTGTTATCAAATAAAATGACATGACAAACTGCCTTAAGTTTTGTACAATTCAAACAACAAAAAGCTTAAACTCTTTGAACACAAAAAGAATTTTCATCAAAAGACTCTAGAAGCATGCTAAGACTGCAAAAATTTAAGAAAGGAAGTTCTACAGAACTAGGTTACCTAGCTTATTTTGCCTGGCCTATTATCACTGATGTGCACATCCTGCACTTACAAGTTTCTGAAAAATAAGACGCTCTAGGTGTTGCAGACAGGTAGGGTAATTTTCAGGTTGGAAATACACGGACTCTAAAACCAGATTCAAGTCCTGTGAAAATGAATTAGTTCTCAATCCAAAGAGACAATTACTTTCACACATTTTATACTGGGTTGTTCTAGACAAACTGCCCCCTCTTCGCAAAAAAAAAACCCCAAAACCAAAACCCAAGAAAGAAAAAACATCCAGGTTTTCAGAAGCATTAGATTTCCAAAATAATTTCGGTGAAGGTAGGAGCGGGTGCCTGCATCCAAAATCTATGGAAAAAAGAACTTGTCATAATGACTCATTTCTTTTGCACAATCATTAAACATCCCACAATCTCTTTTTCAAGTATAGGACTTTGAGGCAAAGTCTTTGGCTAAGTATTATGTCCTTTCTCAAACTGTTCTGCAGAAGGCTGGTTGACTGCTGACTTAACTTGGACACAGGAGATAACAGTTAATGATCTAAGAAGTGATTTTTGTCCCCAAGAGTTTCAGACTGTTAAATGAGTTAAAAATACTATAGCCATCAAGCCAACATACAATACAAATAATTACTTCTGGTTTAAGAATAACTATACTATGTATGTCAAGAAAGTTCTCACCAGCGTTCTTTGCAATTTGCGGAGTTTTTCAACTGGTTCAGGATCATAACCAGGAATCTTACGCATGTCATTATTCCTTAGTGCCAACATAGTCTCTAGCATAAAACGAACCTATTGGGAAAAAGAAATATTTCTGCAGATTATGTGCCGTTAAGTTTATTTAATAAAGTAGAGAGTGTACTTTGAAATTACTATTCTGTGAGAATAAGCAGCTCAGCTGGCAATATACATCAAAATTTAGATTACATGAATACAAATACAGAGAATGATGTTTACTTTAACTCCTACTATATTCATTTGTGTTCAAGCTTCAATTCAAAGCTTAACCTGCTAAACACCATGCCTCAGAGACCATTTTTTGAAGCGTACAAAGTACCATGAAACAGAAGCTCTGTCCGTCGCGTAAGACATAAAACAGTCCTAGTCTCACCCATTTTGGTGTCTGTGTCCTAAGAACTAATGGAGAAAGCCAGACAAGAAGAATGCAAATAACTGAATGCAACAACTGAACACTAATGGTAACTTAGAATCTAAATATAATGCAGCAGAAAACATTTTGGTAGATTAACACACGTATCCAAGTGCTTGTTAAATCTATTCACAACAGAAAATGTTCAAAACACACACATACCCTAGTCTGATCCTGGAGTTTCTTGTCTGCTGTGTTTGCTTTCCTCTGGGCTTCAGTGATCAGTTCCTTCAAAGCCAATGCATCATCTTTTCTTAAGGAAAATCCCACGTTTTTCAGAAGAAACAAAATCAACTCAATCTCTTTTTCAGTGAAAGTGCTAACAAGTTTTTTCAGAATATCAAAGATCAGCAGGGAATGAACCACATGGAAGTTATACAGATGAGCAATCAAGGCAAGCAGATTTTCACATTCTTTCCCTTCAGCATCACTCTTAGAGTGTTCATCAAATTTCTTCACCACAGCTTCCAAAAAGTGAGCACCAACCTGGCAATAGTTCCATTAAGGCGGGGCGGGGGGGAGGCGGGGAGAAAAAAAAAAATCCAGCGGTTAACCATAAGTAGATTTTACAGACATCTGTAAAACGTTCATTTGGGGGGCACTGCCACTATTAATTTTAAAGAAATATTGTTGCTCCTCTCAGCCAATATGAATGTTCTACATTTACATATACAAATATCTATGTGGTGTGACATTTTCTTAAAGTCTATGTTATTTACACCTCATACATGCCATCCCATTGCCTTTTGAAGTCTGTGCAAGAAAAGCAAATATTATGAACTTACAGTACACATACATCAGAATTTGTTTACATAATTTTCTTGGACACATATTAGCATCTTCCCAGCTGCGAGGCTAGCATGCTGTTACTGCTAGTCATTCATCCAGTAAAAGCTGCATGTCAAAAACCAAATGCACCACAGAATTCAGCATTCCAAAGCAAAATCCTTAATAGAAGGGTAGAAGATAATTTTGTAAACTAACCCCCAACACACCAAGTTTTCACAATTGCTAAGCATGAGCTTAGGCTGATTTTTGAGGTGGGAACAAGTCTTAGCCATTTGTCAGTGGTACAGTTGGGAAAAGAAATTTTGGAATCTCTGTATTTATGAAGAGAGAACTGATGCTAAAGACCGGAATTAGAAAGCACACCAAAATCTAGGTAGGTAATGAACACATTACTGCTAAACAAGACACCACCCTCCCCACCCCTTATTATGGTACTAGTATTTGCTGATTGTTCTTACGAAAACCAGAACTCCCAGTAGCAGTACTGACTTGCATTACAAGCCTTGACCAGCTTAGGTTTTAACTATCCAATGATCATGTTGCACAAATGCATAAACACAGTTATTGGAAACCCAACTTCTGCATTCCTCAAACTGATCTTAAATGCAGCTGTGCTATCACACTTCCGTGTAATGCATATTCTACATTTATTTTACAGAAAAAATAATGGGGCTTTATAGTATACTTAAATACTACAGCCTTAGATTCCAAGATGATGTGTAACAGAGTCAGTAGTACAGAATACAGTCTGGATATCATCTATCTACTTCTAATACCTATTAGTATATCTATATCTAAAACCTATTACTAGGTATTTTGCAAAGTTTCAACATTTAAAAAGATTGTGTTTCTCTTCTTAAAACAGCATTGTAATATTACGTTATATTTGCAGTCAGAACTGCCTTTCAAGCAGCAAAGAGGAACAAAAAAGTTTAATGGCAAGGCTGCATGGAGAAAGCTGCTGTAATTGCATCCATCTGATATTTAATACAGTTTCAGAGACAGCATTCAGGTCACTATATGAAAAACTGAAGAACTTGCATCAATACATCATTTGCATTCAGATGTAGAAAGAAAATGTAACTTGATGGGAACATGGTGCTGAAGCACCTCAGTTTCCTGAGAGACGTTTCACTGAAGTTAGCTAAAATCTTCCCTTTAACATCAGTAGTTTCAGCTTCTTCTTAACAGTAAGCAAGAGATATTTTAATCTCAATCATTCATCAGGCTTAAAAACACAAGAGAAAAACCTCCAAAAAATTTGCCATGCTTTTTGAAGTTTTGGATATTCTGGAGTTATAGATATACCTAGTTAATTCCACTGATGATTTGTACGATTTGGCTTAAAACAGGACTTTTGCCACTGATGTAAAAGGACTTCTGTAACTGTAGTACTTTCCTTATCTAGATACACATCGTTCAAGAACAATACTGCCATATACCCAAGAGAACAGAAATGGATTAGTGTAATTAAAGAGGAGAAAACTTGAAGTTTAAACAATTCAGTTTTACGGCTGCAGAAAGATTTTGATGAAAAAAATGATGCTTTTATAACTGACCAGTGGTAACTCATGGAGGAAATAAATTAATCAGATAAAGCAACAGACTTGGTCCCTTTCACTTGTGGACACGCAGCAAAGAAGCTACAAATACTGATGAAATTCAACTAAAAATGCTTTTTAGTGACACACAATCAAAAATTAAAAGGCAATTCAAACAAAATATCAAGGAAAACACCCTACAATATGCATTATTAAATAAAATTAGCCCCAACCACAAGAATTACCTCAATTCCTACATTATGATGAAGAATGCTGACCAAAAGGACATGCTCCATCATCAATCTTGCAGGCATGGCAACTGCAGTAACACAAGCATTCATGAGAATATCTGTCAGAGTTTCATTCATGTCCTTTCTGCTGTTGGCCATGTAAAGCTCTTCCATCTGTCCACTAATTGAGGACAAATTCAGTTCACTCAACCTATTGAGAAACAAAATCCAATGTTCACTTTTTCTTCTCTTTACACGGTTCCACAATTTTCAATTTACCCAACAAACAACGTATTCTTTTAAGAGAAACTAGCTTGGCTTAAGAAGAAAGATGGAAAAGGTGACTGGAAGGGACCTTTTGTATTTTGCTGTGCTCACTAAATTAAAAAAATACAACATATGTTTAATTCTGTTTGGGTTGTTTGGTTTTTTTTTTTTTTTAGTATTTACATGTAAAAACAGATTTTTTGCAGTATTTACAAAGCACTCAGTGTGCTTACTCTCACACTGAACAGAGTTATTAAGAAAACAGACTTTGTTCTTAGCAGTTGTAACTATGGCACATCACTGTCTTTGGAGAAATTAAGTATGAAAATACCTCATACTTTCTAACACATAAAGCACATCAAATTCTAAATGACTGAACAAACTGCATAATGCAGTCTGCATTTTACAGATAACATAGAAAAAAGAAAACGGCAATAGATTCCTTATTTTAAAAATACTGTACAATTAAAATGCATGAAAGTGTTCATCACTTTTTCTGTTCTTCAGTACTTTAAGCTATGAAGCATTGCTCCTCCTCAGTTGTAGTGTTGGAGAAATTCAATTTTATTTAAATAAAAAAAAAAGAAAATCATACTTTTTTGGGGGGGGAGCTATAACTCACACTACGAGGCTTTTTTATGGGCATACTCCAACTGACACTTAGTGAATTATACCTAGCACTTGCAGGCAACTGGTGTGTGGAATTCAGCCCAATCTTAAATTTATTTTCTAGATATTTCAACTTCTATAACGACCAACTTTGAAGAATTTATATCAACAAAGATAATTATTATTAAGGATAGCAGACATGATTGCCAACTTAAAATCGGCTTGTGAAGAGAAAAGTCACATCCTTGCCACTTTTCTTTGAATGATGAGCACTGTCACATCGAACCAGAAAGATTAATGACTTGCCTTATTACATTACCTATTAATAAGACCATTCACCATTTTCTTCAGTCTTCCCAATTCTTCTCTCTTCTTGTCATTTAGTGCCTCCTGAGCTTTCCTTACTTGAGGGGGAACATACTTCACAGCACTGTGATTAAGACTCTAACCAGGAAAACAGTAAAATAAGATACCAAATGAGACTACTATCTTAAATATTTGAATACAGATATACATTTCTATTTAAGATTAATATGCCAATCTTTTAGTTAAGTATGTATTTTACCATCTAATAACTTAATGCCAAAGGAACAACTTCATACAGAAAAGCAGCATGCAACAAGTTGCTGCTTACGACCAACTTGATGGCGGCAAAACCCCTCTTCCCTTTACATGAACTTTCCCTTAAGTTATTGCTATTAGAACCTGACACCTCAGGTCTTGGTTCTAGCAGCTGCAGACGTACTAACAGTTTAAGTTAGCGTCGTGTGGGCTAAACGACCCGTTCAGCCTCCTCTCCTCCACCCCTGCTACAAGACCTAACACAGGCAGGACCTCTGGGGTCATCCAGAAGAAGCAACACCTCAGTTTGCAACAGATCCCAATGTTAACACAAGCCCTCTTGGCTCTTAGCAGAAGTGCTTAATCCCGTTCTTAAACTCTACAGCAGGGGTTGTTCCTTTTATTGGCTGCTCTCATACACAGAGCCAGGGCCACATGCCATCTGCTTTAGGGTGTTACCCGCCAGCATCCCGAATTGGGGACCCCCCCACACACCTGACAGTTGTCCCTGGGGGTCCGAGGTCAGCACTGCTGCCGGGCCCGCTGCTGTTCTGACCCACGACAAGACCGCACGGCCTGACTACTGACAGCGAACGCCCGTGCTTTACAGAGGCGATGTCAACTCTGATTTAGGGGCAGGTTGCGGCATGTACTTTGAGAAGCAGGTTTGCGCTGAGGCGAACACCCTACCTCCTCCTCCTCCTCCTCGCCCGGGGGCTCGCTGGCCTCAGGCGCCCCGCCGTCCTCGGGGGACGAGGACGAGCTCTCGCTCTCCCACTCTCCGTCCACATCGCCCTCCTCGGAGGGGTCTGAGGCGTCCTCCGGCCCCTCCTCGTCCTCCTCCGGCCCCTCCTCGTCCTCCTCCGGCGCCGGCCGTCCGTCCCGCGGCCCCGCCGGGGCCTCCTCCTCGTCGCTGCTCTCGCACAGCCTGCTGAGGCCGGCCCGGCAGCCCAGGGCGCCCAGCACGTAGCCCAGCCCGTCTCGCAGGAAGCTCTGAGGCAGCTTCTCCGCCGCGGCCCCCTCCTGCTTCTTGCGGCGCTTGCCGAGCCCCAGCCGCCGCTCCAGGCGCCGGATCTCCTTCTCCTCCTCCTCGTTGGCCTCCAGCAGGGCCCGCTTCCGCGCCGAGGCGATCGCGGCGGCGGGGAGGGCGGCGCGGGGCGGCGGTGCCGGCAGGCCGCC